CCTTTCAGTCACATTTGCCGTTTCCCACTGGCTGCAATCTTCCAAAGCCATTACGTTTGCTGTAATCAGGTACCATTTGAGATTGACTTTTTTGAAGTAATCTGTTTGTAATAGTTGCAATTATTCTGCCAAATAAAATAATTGAAAAAGACATTTGGGCTTGTCTGGCAATGCAGTTTTTTTATGATCACCACTGTTCCTTGTTCTCAATTCCATGATGCTCTAAGGCCGGTGCGATTGTGTTCCCCTGTTAATTTTTCTACCAGTACAGTTGAAGTGAGAGCTAGATTTATGAGACAGTCCATGCCAAGATTGCTGTTTTCCTTCTTTGGTTCTGTGCTTCCTCCAGCCTCCTAGTGCTCAGTTCTTTTGCATATTAATATTTGCATATTAATACTACCTTTGATCTATATTTACTTTCTATTGATTTGCTTAAACTATAGACACTTTTCAAATGATTTTCAGTGAGAACAGGGCATCATTCCTAGCATTACTAATATTAATAAAAATGGACTTTAAATTTGTTTTTCCTGACAAACAGGCAATCGTGTAGGTTTTCTTAAAACACAGAAAGGCAAGAGTACTAAAGACAGTTGCATTAACTTGATCCTAAATCCATGCAAGGTTAAAGAATGATTTTTAAAAGAGTAAATAGCTGAGCACAAGGAGGATATGCATGGTATGAAAAAGCAACCTAAGTTTATTAGCCTACTCTTTCTTAGATAAATAATTTTCTACACAAATGAATTAATGTCTTAGTTGTCTAGACTTGGGTGAGGCCTTTGATACAGTGCTATCTGAAAATCTGGCTGGGACTCAGAAGAGAGGTAATAGCAGAACTGCAGTGTAGGTACGAAGCTCAGTAAAGAAGACATAGAAGACATTGCAGTTTCTTGAGGATTTACCTTGGAATTGATGTAATTGAATATTTTCAGTAATGCCCACAGCACAAAAATAGGCAGTATAATAACTAAATTTGCTGATGACGCAAAATAGACAGGTATAGTTACGTGGGGAGAACCACTTGACTCTCAATTGCACAAACAGAAAACAGCTGGTATCTGGTGACTGGGGTCCTGTCCCAGAAGTCGGCACTGCACGCAAGACATGGTCTAATGGCAGTGATTAAGAAAGAAGAACAGCCCAGTACATAGTCCATGCGCAGGAGAATGTGAGGCTATCACTGCCAGGATGCTGTGGAAGGCAGCTGTGGGCCTAGAGAGGTTTGGAAAATTTCTGCTGGTGAGAGAACTATTAATGCCACACAAGGATGGGGCCTGGAGACTGGAGATGCAGTTCTGTCTGCTCTCATTCTAGCCAGGTTAACTGGGACTGACAGGGAAAAGGCTGATGGAATGATGAGAATTGGGCACTCAATTTTAAGAGAACAAATAACAGTTTCACTTGTTTAGTCTGACAAAAGGAGGAGTTGAGTGTGGGTGTGACTGCTTCAAAGCATAAACATCAGACACAAAAAATAACCATTAAGGATAATGTTGGTAAAATAATAAATGGAAATAGCCACATGTACAAGACCCAAGAATTCATAGCAGCTGTCCCCTGTGAATTTAAAGTGCAGTGGAATAAATTTATGTCAGAAAAGGTTATATGTGACGTGGTTGCTATTGGTTATACATAGAATCAGAGAATCCTAGAATGGTTTGATTTGGAAGGGACCTTAAAAACCATCCAGTCTGACCAGTAGATCAGGTTGCTCCAAGCCTTGTCCAGCCCAAGGTTTGAATACTTCCAGGGATAGGGCAGCCACAGCTTCTCTGGGCAGCCTGTGCCAGGGGATCACCACCCTCACAGGGAAGAACCAGCAGTTCCCAGTTGCTGACCCAGCAGTTCCCTCTGCTGTTTTCTGTCAGTGAGTGACAGCAGGTGAATCCTTTATGATGCTCTTCCAAACATACCCCAAAGTCATTGTTCTAACCATCAAATACAGGGAAGAATACTTTTTCGACTAGGGGCAGTTGGTTTGGGGGTAGTTGCTGATAGGCCTTTTCTCTGCTCCACCGGGATTTCCCACCAAGAATTCCTCTATTTCCTTCACTGAAATCCATATTGCCAACTGTTCTCCTTCCAGGACCAAAGTCTTCCTACTAACTTCTCATACTCAGCTCAGCTCTGCCCTGCCCTGCATCAGCAGATGGGCACTGCGGCCTTGCCTGCAGAGCTCTGGTTCTTTGCTCAGGTGTGTGAACCTTGCACAGCTGTCCCTGCACAGGCTGTATAAAGGAGGTTTGGTGAGGAGGGAAAAGTGGAGGTAAAGGTAGAATAGGGCTGGACAGCTTACCATGACGTCATGCAGAATTGTACACAGCTGGCTAAAATACAAGTATGGTTGATGACATGATAATTCTGATGGCTCATTATTTTGCATCCTACAGCATTACCTATATATTTCCATCTCCTGGCATCCCTGCTGTTGCCTTTGATTACTTTTAAAATGATCAGGAGGTAAATTTGTAATTATCTCTCTACCTCTGCAGCCTAATGTTTGGAATCTCTGAAGACTGAGACAAACACTTTTCTTTGCCTTCACTCATTCTTTTTTTTGCCTTTATTTCAAATCTTCTTTCTTTCTTGATGTGTACTGCAAATTGTTTGTGTTGTTTCTTCTTTTCAGATAGATTTTAGGAACAGTGGAAAGGCCTAACACAGAAAGAAGGGTCTATGGTACAGTGATGCAAGATCTGGGAGTCCAGGAGAGAGCAAAAAGCCGCAGTATAAAAGCTGTATGGCACTTGGAAATCCCCAAAGGATAACTGGTAGCACTTGGCATATGCATATTCCTCATTCTTACATTGCTATTACAATCAGATGAATACTTAAAAAAAAAAAATAATAAGAGACCCTTTTTGATTGGCTTAGACTTTTTTGCATGAGATCTGTGAAATCTGTCAGGGGAAACTACTCTAGATAGAAAAAAAAAAGGCCTATCTTTGTCTTATGAAATTCCATACAGTTTCCATAGGGAAATAAGGCAAAAGGAACTTCTGGAAGTCATGTGGTCCTTTGTCCTGCCCCAAGTCAGAATTTACACCACCTACATTACTCTGGACAGATGCTTGTCTAACCCATTCTTGAAAGATCTTTGGCAATGGAGATTCCCAAGATTCCCATCCTTGCTTGGTGAGCTATCCCAGAACATCTCTACTGTCACTGTTGTGGTCTTCCTTAATATCGAACATAAATCTTCCTGGGAGAAATTTTAATCCATTATTTCCTGTACTGTGTATATGGGGAACAGCTCTTCCTTGTATGTGCAGCACCTGTTTGGATACCTGACGACTGTTGTTTTCTCTTTATTTTTTGGGCCTTACAGTTCTTGTCTCTTCCTGTTCTCCCCTGAACCATGCTGGTGTCTCCCACATTTCCTCTAATGTACAGACACCCAATGCAAAGGCCAGTCTGTTTGGGACACTGATGTTTAATACCACAACAAGATTGCTTTGAAAGAGTTTCTCTGCAGTTCTGGCAAAAATTAATTTTGCAGCCTCGGGGGAGTGTTGAGCTGGGACAGCTTGTGCCCTGGAAAGCTCAAGGGATGCAGGGAAGGAGGAGACACAAAATGAGGAGAAAAAGAAGAATTGAGAGTATTGTTGACACTGCTTATGCTGCCACCAAGGGGATGAGAGCAGTGGGGCAGCATTCCTGCAGTTCCTGCTCTTCTGTGGGTTTATCTGTTTATTTTGTGTCATTGTCGTACTGATAACTCACATTTAGTTTGTGATCTATTATATCCACAGATATTTCTTCTGAAAAAAAACAACCTCTTCAGCCAGTTGTTCCCTGTCTTCTGTTTAGACAGTTTCTGTTCTGATGTGGAACTTCGCACTGTTTCTGATTGAATTGTGGTTTGAAAAAACAGGACATATCTCCAGGTTCTCAGGATTTTAATTTAAATCATCTCTTGTAGCAAACCTGTAACCCCTCCAAACCATATGTTGCTAGGAAATTTAATAAGCATGTTCTCTAGTTGATTATCTGTACTGTTCATGAGAATGTTGAGTAATTTTTAACTCAGGAATAAGTGGTCATTTCTTTAGACTAAGCAGAGCCCCAATCTTTGGATATTTTCTGTCTGGTTTCAGCATGTTTTCTATGCCATATTGCATCATTTGGGAGTATTTTAAGTTACAGTGAACAGAGCACTGCTGACTTTAATGAAAACTGGGTGAGGGAAACCATGCCTGCTTAAGGAAACCAGCACCTTCATGTATTTCTGTAACTACCCACAGATCAAAAAATTGCAAACAGCAGCAAATCTGTGTCCCTAAAACAACAGCTAGGTTCTTCTCTTTTCTAACCTGGCCATCGTAGTTTAACAGCCTGGAAAGCCTGAATAAGGGCACAGAACTAAAACGAAAGCACACACACACAGACAGGAGACCAGGTGGGCTCTTGGGGCCCCAGGAGGTACTGAGGAAGGTACCTTCTCTGAAATCAGACAGGCTGGGAATATGGCATGAAGTGAGCTGGTAGTGACCAGCTGGTGGCATGAACTGGCCCCAGTGTTTGCTCAGCCTTCAAGAACCAGTGGAGGAACAAGAGCCTTGTGGGGAGCTGCGTGGCACGGAGATCTTCCAGGCCAGAGATGGCTGGGAGCTGCCAGGATACTTGCAGCAATTGGGGAAGACTTGGGTTGAACCATGCACTTTTTTAAAGAACATTGACAATTAATTCCAACACTTGTATGGAAAAAAAAGTTGGGAAAATAGAAAAATAATTTAAAATTAAATTATGTGCTGTTTCTCTTAATATGGGAGAAGACATTCTTGCACTGTAACTTCACTCATTTGTGCAAATGCCTGGCACAGTAGTTTTCCTGGTCACTATTGTGGAGAGTGGAAGAATTACAGGAAATGGGTTTAGTTCTCAGCTAGGTGATGCTGGGCAAATCACTTCCATCCATTTTGTACCTTATTTTCCATTTGCAAAACAAAGGAGCTGCTTCTATTGATTTATTTTCTAAAGTACTTGGAGAACTAAAATCATACTAAGAGCTGAGTTTTTATTATGACTTCTTTTATTTTTTTTTTTAAGCTGTCTATGGCTAAAGCGACTCTGCCATTCCTTTATTTTAATGTCTGGCCTTGGAATTTGATGTTCCAAGACTCTGTTTATTCGATGCCTGTTAAGAACAACCAGGTAGATTACAATACATATTGTATGGTTTGTGTTCAGCTGAGATTCGTAGCAGATGTCCTCCTGCTCCAGGAAGCAATCAGTGCCTGCCGCCGGAGATGGGGCAGCTGCGGCTCATTGTTGTATCTACAGCTGAGGAGAAAATTAAGAAAAGCTTAAAACCCGCAGCCGAGCTAACGCCCCGGCCGGGCGACAAAGGGTCGGGGCTCCGCGCCTTCGTCCGTCCCGGGAACCGCCCGACCCCGCTCTCTCCTGCACGGCCCCGGCCCGAGCTCCCTCTCCGGCGGCGGCGCGGCCCCGGCCCCGCGCCTGTACCCGACACGGCCCCGCCGAGCGGTGCTGAGAGTTAAGGCACCGAAAGGGTTAAGCCGCTCCCGCCCGCGCGTCCCCGCCGGCCCGCGCTGACCTTCACGGGGCCGCGCCGGGCATGCGCGCGCCCGGCGCGGGGCCGCGCTCCGCCCGCCGCGGTCCGGCACGCCCGGCCCGGTCCGGCTCGCCCGGCCCGGCCCGGCCCGGCCCAAGGCCAGCGGCCTGGCCCGGCCCCCGCCCGCGGCGCGTCCGGGACCGCGGCCGGCGCGCGCCCTGCCCGTGCCGGGCGCGCCGTTGCCATTCGGTGCCGATGGTGCTGGCGGCTGAGCGCGGGGGGACGCGAGGGGGGACCGCGCGCCGCGCCGAGCCCGGAGCCGCCGCCGCCCCTTCCCGCGCCGGGCGGGCGGGGCCGTCACGGCGGCTGTCGGCCCGGAGCCGCTGCGGCCCCGCCGTGGTGCCATTTCGCGCGATGAGGGTCGGCACGGCGCCCCGCGAGCAGGGGGAACAGCCGCATCCGCACAGGCCGGGGCCGGTGACCCGCCCGCCTGGACCGCCGGCCAGTGCGGCCTGTGAGGACAATGAACGGCGTCTGCCGGGAGCAGGGAAGGGGCTCACACGATGGGAGCCAGCATTTCTTTGTGAGTCTGCGATCTAAAATACATAGCTGGTGCCGGCCCGACGCTGCCCTTCAGATGAGTTAACCCAACGTTACTACGTCTACCAGACACGTAGCAGTTGGTTCCAGATTACACGTGCCTTTAGTTCAGTTACAACTGCTGGAATAGGAGCACTGAGTAAGGCCATGTTACTTTCCTTAGCATGTTCCTTCTGAGGGCTGAGAGAGGGAACAATGCCCACCCTCCCAGAATTTCTGTGATTCCTATGGATGTTGCTACACAGTAGCACTTGGGTTGGAGTGTCCCTAGAAATCAATGGAGCTCACTGTCTCCGTCCCCATGTGATCTTCATGGCTTGCAGTTCACTTGTGGACAATGCAGTGTCTTTTCTGTGCTTGTTTTTATTACTGGTTGAGGGCAGAATTTTATTTATTTGTTTCAGATATGATTCTCTTCTGTTTTCAGTCTTGCCAGAAAAGTCCCAGCCCCCAGACAAGAATTTCAAGCAGAGGAAGAGAATAAACCCCTCTCGTAACCTGGCAACATGTCGCCTGTTGCTGTGCTAAGCAGGCTGGGGAGCATCAGCCCCTGCGAGCCGTGGGCAAGGGGAGCTGTGGGAGCAGAGCAGTGCCCCAGGCCACCACTGTGGGCTCAGCCATCATGGAGGAACCGCGCTCTGCTCGTGGAATGGCTGCCGTGCTGCCAGCGCCATGCTCACCCCCAGCCCTCCAGGGCTGCACAGGAGGCGTCTGCTGCTCTCTTTCCCCTTCCCCTGGGTGGCCCGTGTGCTCCGCTTCCAGCAGCTTCCTGGGATGCCACACGCTGTTGTGCAGGGCTTTGTGTGACAATCGGTGAGCTGCTGATGTCTCATGGCAGCTGTAGTGTTAATAATTTGTCCATGCCTGTCAATCACCTGGGGTCTCTCATGGATCCGTCACAGTGGTACCAGAGCATCCCGAGGGCGGTCACTGGAGAGCGGTGGTGGGCGCAGGAGCATGGAGGCGAGTCGGGAGCTGTGCCGCCATGCTGCCCCCTGCCCCCTCCCTCTGCTGCTCTCACACTCTTTATTTCCCCTCGCTCCCACATGCTGTCCCTCCCTGTTCCCAGCTCCTGCCTCCCGCTGCTTTTCTCTCTTGTCCAGAGGGGTTAGTTCTCATCTCTCATGCTGGAAATACTGCCAGCAAATGTTTCTGTGTGCTGCCTGCCAGGTCCCTGGGGAAAGGGCCTGGAAATGCAGTGCGGGAGGAGCAGTGGGAGCAAGGGAAAACCATTGTTTCTCACTGCTCGCCTGCTGCATTTTCTAATGGGAAAACATCTCTGTGAGGTGCTGAGCTCTGTCACTGCTGGAGTTGCCCCCTCCCCCTTCTTGCCCCAGAATTTCCTATCCCCAGTGCAGAGGAGGAGAGGCTACAACGCCACCATGGAAAAGCTGAGATGTGTTTTCAATTTGCCTCCTGCTTATCTCTGCTGTTTGGACAGAGAGGTTTAAAAAGCTGGATTTTCTGTCCCTGCAGAGTAAACAGACAGAGCCCAGCAGCACAAACTATTTCTGGCTTATCAGTGGAGGAATGCAGCAGCTGAGGCTGAGTGCGAGTGGGCCGTCAGGAAGGCCCTGAAGGGGCCCCCTCCCCACTCCGCGCTATTAGAAGTGTGAGAGCCCAGCAGGACTCAGAGGGGAGAGTTGGAGAAAAAGGCAGAAAAGGGAAAGAAAGAGGAAGAGAGAGAGTGAGAGAGGCTGAGCAGACCCTGATGGCTACAGACGAAGTTACAGGAGGGGCTCGCAAAGCTACGAAAAGCAAACTTTTTGAGTTTCTGGTCCATGGGGTGGTGAGTCGGGAAAGTTAGTGAGCTGGCTGGCTCTGAATAGAGGGATGAGTGGAAACTGGAGGCTCTGTGCTGGGCTGGATCGGCTCCTGCTGTGTGCTCCTGGGGCGCTGGTAGCTGCCTTGCCAGGAGAACACTGGGGTCTGTAGAGCCCCCAGCATATGCACTGATTCATTGATAATATAGGCTTGTGTCTGGGGGGATGTGTGCTGTGCTTTTTGCTGTGATTCTCCATGAATGGCGAATAGCATGCTTTTGAGTCTGATGGTGGTGCAGAATCTGCGCTGGATCTAATCCAAATGGGCTTGTAGGACACTTTGTTCTGTAATCAAACTTGTGTTTTGAAAAACAATTCTGATGAAAGCCTGATGAAGCCTTGTGGTGCTGCCTCTGGTTCTTGTCTCCAATCTTGGCTCGTATGTATCCTCTGGCTACTTAACAGGTGACTTTCAGGGGCTTGAAGAGATTAGCTCTGCAGATCTGTAACAGTCTATGGGAACTCGCCCATGAGAGAATTTCAGGGTGCCATGCTTAATTAAAGCAATCCTTCAGGTCTTTAAAAACGTTCCAGCTTTTGTTTAAGAGTCAGGTCTTCGATCTCCATTTAAGGGGAAATGCTAACCCTGTTTTGCTGCCATTGGAAACGATGTTCTTTAAATGACTCTTGTGTTTGAGAGCAGTCACCATTTATAACATTTGAATTTCTAGTATTGATACACATTTAACAAATAAGGCTGTTAACGAACCCCAAGGAATGCAGATATTGTTTGGATACTGATAGTCCCCAGTGTTTCTCTTTTGAGGAATCTGGCACCTCCTGGGACACCTTCTTGAAGACATCGGGGTGGGGGGGGCTCTTGTGCAGAGATCATAGAAATCTGTGGCGCTCACGGCAGGCTTCTCACTTGTCTCCATGATTCAGGCTTACTCCAGATGTGCGGGATCTTCTGCGTGTCCTGCAGATCCTGGATATGGTGGGACTTGCAAGGTTAAGAGCTTTGAGGTGGCATTCTGTGAGAATGGCATTAGTGAGAGCCGCGGAGAGGTGATGTGGTGCCAGTGCACAGGACAGGATGGGTGAGCCTGGTGGCTGTTTGGGGCTGATGGAGGGCAGGTGTGCAGGTGGGAGCTGTAGTTTTGCTGGGGTCACATGGGATCATCAGGGTGGTCTGAATCAGGATGGCTCTATCTGGGCAGAACCATAGGCAAGCTGGGAGTGTGGCAGATGGGATGGCTTTGCCTTTTCCAAAGTTTCTCTTGACATTTGCCCATCAGTGATCTTCCTTTAGTGTCAAGAAGAGTGGCATAAATGGTTATGTGAATCTGCTTATTCCACATCTAGCTGGACTTCATGTGAAAGCAGGACGGAGGCCTCTTAAGCCTGGGAAATTTTAATTTATACCAGAATGAATATAGCAGAACTCATTTCCATTACTTATTTGGATGGCAGGAAAGTCTGCCTTTTCTGTCCTGGGAGTTTTGTTGCTAGTGGCATCTTACTTGAACGTACGTGTTAGCCTGGAATATCTGCATGTGTTTGTCGTCTTCCTGTTCCTTGTTGCTGAGGCTTCTTGGCTGTTGTTCTGAGGCCTGAACATCTCTTGTATCACCCTCTCCTCCATTAATATCTCCCTTAATTCTGCTTTGTTGCCTGGTTTGTTATTTCGTTTTGTTTCTTCCTCATCTCAGGTTCATTTTGATCATAGCATGGGTTAGTGTGATCACTCTTCCATTGTTTAAAAAAGATGAAAAAAGTTATAACTTCATTTTATCTCTTTAGGCCTTGTATCCTATCAAATAAGAGAATGTACCATGCCAGCCATTACCTTGAGTTTACGTAGTGCTGGCTCCTGCATTTAATTACCACCCAAAGTGTGTCAACATCTGAATTAATTCCTTGAAAAATCAAGTTACATAGCAAACTGTAGTGGAATTCCTTGGAGTCAGATTCTGCTCTAATTTCAGGGACAAGTCTTCTCTTCAAATGACTTACTTTTATTCTATCTATGATAGCATTATTTAATTTGATTATTAAAAATTATTTTCTTTACCTCCTCAAAAAATGTGGAGAAGCAAGTAATGGTAGAATGTTGAGAGAAATATTTTTTTTCTCTGTGAGTACTTAAATGAACAGGGTAATCTGCAGTATTTCCTAGGGGCAGTCAGCTTCTAGATTCACTTGATCTTTCTGAAAACATATGTTCCTTTGGTAAGGTCACTTTACCCTTTGCTCTTGTGCACCTGATCCTGCCTTTGTTCTTTTCTATATTGCCAGCTTAGAAGATGTCTTCTTCCTTGTTTGTCCTGGGCAAATAGGATCCCCTTGAAAGGTGAAATCTCTTAACAGTTAAAAATCTCAAGTTGGATGCTTCGTTCTCCTCCTTCTTGAGTCCTCCTTCTTGAGTCCTTGATAATTTGCTACACCTCTAGTTAGCACTTGGGCTTTTAAAAAGGTTAAATTTCTTTCAGTTATTTATTTTTACAGTGCTTTACAATGTTTTTACTCTCGTTTCATTGTTTTGCACATTGTTTTTGTGTGAAGAGAGGTTTTCCTCCCCCGCCCCCCCAAAGGCTTCATCCTATATTTTGTTCTTTCTTTCCTTTTTTATTTCTAGCATTTTTATGGATAAATATGGCTTTAATCAACTCATTTATGTTGATTTATCTCTTTATTGATGCATTTTCTGCTATCCAGTAGTACATTTCAGGCAGTCTTTATGACATCTCTCTAGGTGTCCAGCTGTTGCCTTATATTTT